TGACATCATCAGTGGAGCCTCCAATGAAGCGATGTTATTCTACTCCGCTGGGAGTTTATACTGTCCGGTCCATAATGGTGAGTAGTGTCATTTCCAGTTTTGATCCGTATGGGTTTGTGTATGGGGTCCAATTCTATAGGTTTGTTAGATTGAAGCATGGGTGGAGAACGATGCGTCCAGGAATTCCCGTGCATGCCTATGTTTGGCTTGGGCTATGATGGTTACCTGGTCACAGTTGTCGTCGAGTGGCTGTGGGCTTGTGGGACACCATGATTCCTAGTGCTCTTAGTTAACTAGGATAAGGTAACTATAGTAGCCCAAGCCAAACATAGACGTGCACCGGAATTCCTAGGGGCATGGTACTCCACCCATACTTCAATCAACAAACACATAGAATTGGATCCCACATACAAACCCATACAGATGAAAACCGGAAATGACAGTACACACCATAACGGACTGGACAGTATAAATTCCAAGCGGAGTAGAATAACATCACTTCATCGGAGGATCCATTGATTATGTCACCTAGCATGGTGACAAAACGTCTGAACAAAAACAAACCAGCTCGGCGAGCAAGTCAACAACCTCATCCACAACCCGAGCTACAGATCTTTGCCAAAACTTTAAACATTCTTACTGGTTCCTCCGGTGGGACAGAAGCCACACTGGAACTTTGGAAGGGCCTCCTCTCCGGTTGGCAAGAGGTTATTAACAACTAGCTATGACTTTGTTAGCAGATGATTGCAATGCCACTTCCCTGCAGTTGCCACAGTTCAACTTGCTCCCTTCTTGAAGGCTGTGATCTCCCGAAGGTCACTTGAAATTTCATTCTGTCAGAGTTTCACAAATAAAGCTGGTGTCCATGAGATCAGCATATCTCTTCAGTATGCCTGTCCCCAGAAGCTTTGTTCAATTCTGTGTAGTTGATAGCAATTATGATTCCATTGAGAATTAGGTCTATTGTCTGTTATGGGAGGTTCTTCAGCAGGTGAGTGACAACTGGGGAGTTCAAATGGACTAATGTTACAATGTGTTCTTTCCAGTAGGTATTGATGCTGTCTATATCTTTGTTGAGAGCTTTACCACCTTCTGATCTTATTGGTATTGATCAATGCCTTGAGGGTCCATAGAGCTCTTTTTTCTGTCTTTGAAAAATATATTAATTATGCACGTTAACAAGAAGTTCAATTTCCAAGCCTTCCAGATCCGTCAATTCCTGCTTCAAATTGTGGGTGGTTTTTTGAGCTTGAATTGAGATTCATGGTGATACCAAAACCAGTGTTTTACTCAGAACTATGACAGGAAGCCTGTTCACATGGTGCAAAGCAAATGTCTTGAAGACAATTTCAAAGCCTCCATGAAAGTCTGCTCCATTAAAGTGACAGCCTGGTGGTATTATTGCTGCACAGTTAATCCAGGGACTCGGGTAACGTTCTGCAGTCCTGGATTTGAATCCTGTCACGGCAGATGGTGCAATTATCATTCAAAGAAAATGTGGAATTAAGAGTCTAATGACCATGAATCCATTGTCGATTGTCAGAAAAAAATCCATCATTTTCACTAATGGCCTTTTGGGTAGGAAATTCCATCCTTACCTTGTTGGGCCTACATGTGACTCTGGAACAGCACAGCAATGTGGTTGGCTCTTAACTGCCCTTTAGGCAATTAGGGATGCGCAATAAATGCTGGCCCAGGCAGCAATGTTCTTCTCCCATGAATGAATAATAAAAAAAAAATCTGTACTTGGGAAGCAGGTGCCCAATCACAACCAAAATTACAATCCCTCACCAAAAATAGTGTCAAGACCTTCTGATCACTGTTCCACCAGACAGAATTATGAGAAATGCAAAGAAAGGGCAGATGCTCAAGCAAAAAGTCCGCCACCCTCTATACTGGACAAGTGAGACCTTCATTGTGGCAGCACTTGAGGCTAAGTTAGCACTTACAAACCATATATGAAATCACACCCACATTGATACCTTTAAAGCCAGACAGCCATAAGGAGGGCTCATCCCTAACACAAGGGACTGTCAATGATGACAGTACAAAGTACAAAAATTATACTAAAGCTTTATAAAATGCCAGTTATATCCCTTGCTGGAACACTGTATCTAATTCAGATCAATACATTTTCAGAAAGACGTCAGGGGTATTAGGAGTGGCTGCCGAGAAGATCAACTCGAATGGTAACAGGGACGAAAGACTTCAATTGTACAGAAAGGAAGGGCAGCTGTAATTGTTCTCCTTCAGCAGAAAAAGTTAACAGAAGATCTACTGGAGGTGCTCAAAGGCACATGACGTTGGTCACGTAAATAAACAAAAACTTATTTCCAGTGGCAGAAGAGTCTGTAACAACAACACAGAGATTTAAGGAGACTGGTAAAAGATGTAGTGGTGACACATGAGAAATCTTTTTCAGTGAATGTGATATAGCAAAAATACACAAAGAATAGAAAAGGATGTGGAAGCTATTGCACGGGTGATAATAAACTGCTGAAAGCTGGAACAATAATAACACGTTGAGTAGTTTTGCTGCAGAAAGCAAGTCTGTTTTATGGTTGGATATCTAAATATAGATTCTGAATTGCTGAAGTATTTTTAAACACAATGGTGATCTGTGGGAACGGCCCTAACTGGAGTTCTGTTCCTCAGGATAATGCTTCTTGAAGACAGAATTCAGTTTCTGCAGATGCCAAAAAAGCCTGTTCAATTACACTAACACAGATGTCTGTCCTGAAGTCTGAATAAAACTAGATATGCAACAGTGATGGAAATTATAATAGCATTAACAGATGTGACTGGGACTAGGGGTACAGTGGGAAGCTGACCATTCCCAGTTACAAAATATGCATAAGGGACAGAGTCAGAACATGAATGAAATATTGCATTTCAGTACATGACACAGGAAAGGGATGGTGGAGTGGTCAACTGTGTTATTCATTTGACTTGAGTTACCCTATAGAAACCATGAGACAGTAGAGAGAAGGTAGAAAATGAGATAGGTTGGAATAATGGAACACCAAGCACAAAGAGTTATGTAAATGGCAGAAAGAAAGCTGGATTCATGTGTCTTCATCCAACAATGAACAGCACTGGATCTAATTCTGGGAAATGATTTGCAGCAAGTAGAAAATTGAAGGATTCTGGAGCAACCAGAACACGGGTAAATATGATAATAAAATTGAAAAGTACAGGCAACAAGTTACAGTTAAGATACCTGACAGATAAAAAATTGCTCCTGAAAGGGGATAAAGAAACTAATCATCATGATAAAAAAAAGAACCAGCTCCGTTAAAGAGAGAAACATAAGAAAGGAGTCATTGGTATCATTCAATAAGGAGACAATTAAGGTGTAGACAAGGTATACTTCCACGGAAGCAAAGTGGACAATCAAAAGTTAACTAGAAAAATTAAAATGAGGCTTCGAATAATTATAAATTGAGATCAAATAAATTAAACAGAAAATCAAACAAAATCAAGAAACAAGACTTTAGGAAAGTAATGAAAGTAACAAAGGGAAATGATAAGCTTTGTCATAAAATCACCAAAGTAAAAATAAAGGCCCTGCACCTCAGAGAAAACATTATGACCATGGAAGGATGCAGTGCAAATTAATTAGGACAATACATGGTATAAAGGGTTAAATTATGACAGCAATTTCACAACCGTAGCACGACATCTTTGCATTTCCAAGATTGAGGTGCTCAAGATAATAAAAGGACCCAATCGAATGAATATAAAGAAACTTTCGTCTTTGATGGGGTAGTTTAAACAATCTGGCATAACTTTCAAACAAAAGCCATGCATAGTTTGCATGAAAATGGACAGCGAGAAGTCCAAGAGCGACAGGCTCAGATCCACGTTCCACCAGGAGACAACAGCAGCATCTAGTGACAGAAATGAGTGATTGTACCTAAGGCCTTTTCTACAGCTCACCTAGTACATCAGGTTTGTGGAAAAATGCTGCTTAGACCCATAGCACAAAAAGGAACCTTGCAAACAAAAAGAACTTACAGTAAAAAGGATCTGCAATGATAAAATGCCGATAATAGCTGACTTGCGTGCCATCATGCTAGGAATCAAAGGAAATTGTTTTTGTAAATTATGCCTACTGCATTATCTGACTTATGATGTCTTTGTAGATCGACCAGTCCCACATCTAAAATCTTTAATTAGGCTAGTATGTGTTCTGAATTATGCCGTTCTCACAGGAGATGCAAATGAAATTTCTTTCTAACATTGTTGCGTCATGGTGATGGAGGTGACTGGGACAACGGCTGCAAGCATGATTTTCTCAGTAGGACTGTTGGGTTGTTGCTTGACTTGTCTGTGGAACAGCTAACTTGGCATAAGCCCCAGATATTAGTAAGGAACATTACCAACTGAGCCAGATTTGATTTTCCAGATCTGGTGCCTAGGTCGACGCTGGGTAGATCCATTCGTTCGTACTCTTCTTAGACTTTTTCTTTGCAGGTTGTTAGAATTGAGAGGTTTTCTAGGCCAATTTCCTAGGTCCAGAAGTTCCAAACAGGAAGAATGGCTCTTAACTGATGTGCAATGTGAAAATTAGCACTTGCAGACAATCTGAATCCATCACTGCAATACCACCGTAACAATTTTAAGGCTCTACTGCACATAAGTAATAGTTCCCAGTTGGGATGTCTTCTCATGGGGAATCTAGAACTATGGGGCATAGTTTCCAAATAAGAGATTTACCATTTAAAATGGAGATGGTGACTTCTTCTTTCAAAGGGTTGTCAAAATTTGGAATTCTTCATCCCAGCGAGAATTGGAGGCCAGGTCACTGCATATATTCGAAGCTAAATTAGACAGATTTTTTTAAATCTACAGGAGAGTCAGGGGCTACGCAGGGGCAGGGAGGAGAGTTGAGGCCACAATCAGATCAGTCATGATCTCATTGAATGGCGGAGCAGGCTTGAGGGGTCGGATGGCCTACTCCTGCTCTTATTTCTTAAGTATTTATGTTCAGTCAGTACCTTGTAGCAGAATCTGGGGCACGACCTCTTCGGACAAGCAAAGGCATCGGGAGCCATTCATTACTTGGGGGCAGCCTGCAGGAGGGCAAATGTGAGAGGTCAAAATAACACACAGAAGACACTATGGTCAACTGCACATACTACTATCAAGAAACAAGGCATGGTAACAATTGAAAGTCTTCAAAGTCAAGTTTAGTGTTTTATGAATGTTTACAATTTGTAAATTATCTTGACCTCTGCCCTCAGAAAGTGTAAAGGAGTTTCAATTATCATATGTTGCATCAAAGATTTGCCCCCATACCAGGCAATGCAGATGCAGAAACTGCTGCAGAACATCTGCGCTATTACTTCTCTATCTTAACAATTTCACAAAATCTGACTTGCCTTTGCTTAAGATTACTGGAGAAACTTAATTCTAATACCAATCCGAAAATATGAACAGCTAATCCAATACAATACTGCAACTTGGAAAGAGACAGAGAACCAATGAGCGCAAGCAGTAACTGAGCATGCCAGTGGGAAAGCAAGCAATAAAAATGCAGTGATTGGGTCTTGTTACAAAGTAAGTGGGCAGAATAAAACAGATGCAGATCAAACACAAAAAGCGTAAGAGACAAATGTAAATTTTGAGACTGCAAGACAAATGGAAATGTAGTGAAAAATAAGAGACAAAAATCAAAGTATTAACTGAAAATTTAATTTTGAAATTGCGTGTTTCACAAATACAGTAAAACTTCAATCAGTCCATGAAACTCACAATAGATTGGTTAGCATGTAAAATTCACACTCTAATCTGATCATAAACCCCAGGCAGAACACATTTTTCTGGTGAAATTTTGTGGCTGCAAGGAAAGGATTAGACAGGCTGGAACGCCTGATCTCCACACTCTCACCTACCTCTGTTCAGCAGGCTCTGCCTCCCTTCGCTGAGGAGGTTGCACTACACTCTCTTGCTTCTCCAGATTGGCAGGAACTTGGGGAGGTGAGATGGGCTCATATGGTTCTGATGAAATGTGGCTTCGTTCTGGGGATTTCCCAGGCCTATGTGTGATAAGGAAAACATTCATCACCATTAGTCTTAACAGATTCATAGCATCTTGGACACAGACACAGAAGTGAAGTGAAAGCCTGTTCTCCTAACTGAAGCCATCATTGCTCCATAAGGCAGGGACAAACTGCATGCATACATCAACTCCTGACACTAAGCAAATCAGTGAGATTCAGCTTTAATAGTGTGATTAGACACAAGTTTAACTTGTTTTCTACAGCGTATACAAAACTGTCAAATCCTCACACCAAATTGATCAATTTGTTACAATTTCTTTCCATTAATAATTAGCATACAATGGCAGGTCATTGTTTAAGAGGATAACCATATAACAAGCCGTCAAAACAAAGCAGAGTAGAGTGTACATTATATAACACTGGTGCCTGTGCTAGGCACTGGAATTCATGAATATCAGTCTGAAATCAGCAAAGGATTCACTCATACACAGATGCACCTTTGTTATTTGGGTGGTCATACGACATTCAGAAGCTCAAATCAAAGACTGTCCAGGTTTGAATATCTCCGAATGGCACGTAAAAGAGTTGGAAGCAATTGTAGCAGAATCAAAAAGGTAACATAATAATCAATGATCCTTCTGTTACAATTACAACAAAGCATAGATTACAGCTAAATAAAAACCAAAAGAATGGTGGATGCTGTAAATCAGGAACAAAAACAAAGTTGCTTTAAAAGCTCAGCAGATCTGGCAGCATCTGTGAAGGAAAAAAAGAGTTAACGTTTTGGGTCCGGTGACACGAAACATTAACTCTGTTTTTTCCTTCACAGATGCTGCTAGACCTGCTGAGCTTTTCCAGCAACTTTGTTTTTGTTCACAGATTACTGCTACTAATTTCTAATGCTCCTTGTACTATTATCTGGAACCTTTGCTTGATTTATTTTGTAAGAGCAGACAAACATTTTAAATCTAATGGGCACACTGGCTCACAGAGTTATGATTAACAATGTATATCACCTAATCTTCTTGTTTACCTTCCTCTGC